CCATGTGATGATCTCCGATCAGCGTTCGCCGAGCAGCAGCACGCAGCTGCCAACCGCATTCAGACCTGGGCCAACGAGAGAGAGCGAAGCCCATCTTCTGACGGCATTCGGGAGAGCGCTGTGCCTGCGCGTTGGAGATCCCCTTTCTCTGCCCCCGGCTCCGGCCACCTGAGTACAGAATATCTGAGTGTGGTGCAGCGCACATCGTCGTCAGCAGCAGGCTGTTTTTTTTGCGTCTTTGGAGCTGAGAGAAAAGGGCAAGCAGGCTGAAGTCAGGCGGGTTGCTTTGGCACAAAAGCAGCACAAGCGGCGACTGTCGATAATGATGGCTTCGTTGAGAGGTGGGACGACGGCGCGGGGCAAGCGAAGCGGGGACGGGAGAGAGAGGCGGTTAAGGCACGAGAGGGCGGCGAGCATGCCATTGGGCCGACCAAAGGGGGAAGGGATGCAGGCTAGCGCGTGGCGGACGATGAGTTTCGAAAAGCTGCAAAACACGAGCAAATGCGTGAACAACTGCTCGAGCTCCACCTCCCCGGAGACAGACCCTGGAGCCTCGAGTGTGTTCCCGAGCTTCGTAGGTGAGTACGATGCATATTTGTTTGCAAAAGGGACAGATTGAGCCGAAGGGCACATACATGGTTACCCCAAGGAAATGTGGAGCATTTGAGTTATTTCCCTTTTGGAAACTGCGTTCCTTTCCACGCACTCTTCTTCCTTCTCGCACAATACTTGGTGGCATTATCGAATGCGTATCATGATCTAGAATACGAACTGCATGAAAGTTTGCTCGTGCCTTGATCTCTGTGAAGATGTTCTCCTTCGCTTGGATGCACATGGCCCTTACTCATCATGGCATGGCATGGCACCTTTTGTTTCTGCCTTGAAGCTCCAACCATGGTTAGGTTTTCCAAGCAGAGACGCAGGCTTGACGTTTTGCAGGAACAGCGAGCCCTCGCGAGTTGCTCGTTACCATCTGTGGTTCAAACTTGGAATGAAATATGCGTTGTCGGAAAAGTTGGAACATACATACGGCGAGACTTTTCCTGCTGACAGTTGGGAGACACCACACGAGACGACCCGTGACCATGCAGTCTTGCAGGAGACACAATGCGTGCGTTCGTTCGTGTCTGTGTCCGCCCGTGGCTGGGTGGTGTCTCTCGCGCAGCAGACAGAATGCGAAAAAAAGTAAAAGTGTTGTAGCCGTCACCCTTATTTTCTCACAAACACGCACATGGACGTTTGTTGGTGAGTTTTGCTTGAGAGACATGTGCGGGACCCCAAAGCAGCAGTAGAATGAGATGGAGAGACCTTCGCACAACATCAAATGCTCTCGATAGGTGGAGACATACACTGCTGTCTCGACGGCAGCAGTAGCCAAGTCCTACTGTTGTAGAGCGGCATAGTTTTCAACCCCTTGCTCATAACCTGGACTGTTTTCTAGTTTTCACGCGCACTGCGCCTTGAGCCGTAGGCTAACGCGATATCGCCCCGGCCCCTGTGTCCCCGTTGTAACCAGCCATTACACGCAGCGCTGGCCGGGTATTGATTTTGCCGATACGTTCTACGGTGGGGTTCGCCTCTCTCCTTCTCTTTCTCCCTCTTACCCTTTGAATCTATTATACTTGTGCGTAGAGGGACATGAGCAGCTGGATATAATATTCCTCTGAACTGGCCTATAATTGTCTCGTCTGTCACCAAACGGCGATGGAGGTGCTGTTGTAGCCCGGCCCCTCTCTTACTTTTGTCGTTCTCATGTTTCATCAATGCGTTTGTGTCAAGCGTATCAATCAACGCTGTCGTTTCAATTGCGCGACTCAAAGCCACGACCCCGATTTGCTGGTATATACTACCGCCGTCTGTCTAACGTGCGGCGGGCACCATGCCGGTGCGGATCGTATACTCCAAGGGACTACCGCTGTTGTACATTTCATGGCACGTGCTTCCCCGGAGTTCAACTCCAACTTCCCAAACAGTTTTTCCAGGCGCAGCAGCTGTAGCTTATGCTCTGTTCTGCTGGGAAGCAAGCCTTCTTTTTTCGTTGTATTTTGTTTTACCTTCCACTCCCCGTCTTCCATGTCCTCGTCTGCCTCCTGGTCTTGGATAAATGATGAAATGGACACCCTCATCGCTTTTGGCGGCATTTATTTCTGCTCTTGTGGTATTCACATAAGAACATAACTGGTACAGAGTATGTATGATCCGCAAACAAAACGAACAGGTGGTCTTTCTGTGAGCTTATGTGTACTTTCTAAAAACAATCGACAGCTGTGTTTTTGTTTTGAGCATTCCCAACGACTTTTTTGTACCAGATCGTTGCCAAGGATTGCGAATTCAGTCAGACTTTTTCGAATAGACTCTTCGCGTGTTCAGTATTAATGTAAGTATAGTATGATTATATGAAAACGTCGGGTGGATTTTGCCCATGATGGGCAGGGCGCCCGCGGGCTCCTCACCCACCGTACACCAACAGCAGCTTCACCACGCGCCACAAACTACTTCCTCCTGTATACAACAGGAATGTATACATTCATCCCCATCTTCTAGACGCCAATACCATGTTGTGAAAACTCCCCAAATATATGCATCTCAAAGCAGTTAATGCTGTCAGAGACTGCCTGCGCGTTGCACGTGTTCTGCTTTGTGTTGATGCCTAACACCAGACGCCTGACACCACGATACCCCTAATGCTCCGTTGAGGTGCTATCCATAAACATAGCATGAGCGCATCCCGTGTGTCCAACACCTCGGCTATTTTTTTTTTTCTCCCATCATTGGACTCTGTCGTCTGCCCCTCTGGCCCCTATCCTCCACTTCTACCAGCTAGACACCCCAACCGGAGTCACATAGGAGGGGGGGGCTGGACCCCCTCCTGCGGTTCCTGCCTGAGGTATTTTTATCGGCCATGTACTACTCTGTCTTCTGACAGAATGCCGCAGGAGAAATCTATTTCTTCCAGTGGTATTAGTCTTGCCGTATCTGAGCTCAGCAGCCTGGTGGTGGTCTCCACGTACTGCTGTAACTACAATAACGCATCAACCATTTGGGAAATTTGGGTGCGCACACGAATACCAGTTGGCATGGGTTGGAAGGTATCCTTCAACTCCAAAGGAACAAACAAAAGACTACTCCAACCGTTTTGTAAAGCTTGCTGGCCTGCGCGCCCCCCCCATCATCCGTCTGCTCCAATGAAATACTTTTGCATGTTGTACATACAGGAGTATGTTACTCGCGTGACACCTCCCTTGCCCCTTGTGACCAGGCACTTCTTTTACCCTGAATTTGCTCTGGTTGTTTTTTTCTTAACGCTATGCGTACGAATTCACACAGGACAGAATAGACAGGCCGGCAGACCACGAATGAAGGGCCAGCCCGCGGGGTATTGTACATTGTACTTGTACTTTGAAGTGTGGTATTGAAGGGCTCGTCTCCTTCGTGTCATTCACTCGACGAAGTTTTGGCACTTTGTCGGGAAAACAAAACACACAGGGCGGGTGTAGATAGTCTACGATGATGAGTACTCTCGATCAATCGCCAGCTCTGCTTGAGGTCCACTGCCCACGGGTGAGTGAGAGTCTTATAAACTGACTGTAGTTCCATTCGACCTCCATGTACCTTCTGTGCTGCGGCCTGGCCAAAACCAAAACCAAAACCGGAACGGACACGGACACGGACACGGACACGGTTGCTTCTTGCGCTCGTCGAGAAGAGGAAGACAATGTAGGAGAGGAGGAGGAGCTGAGCGCCAGCGCCGGCAGCAGCAAGGACATGGTCGAGGGAAGAGGAGGGGATCAGACAAGGGCGAGAGGGGCGGAAGGGGGGGGGTTGTCGAAGCTGTCGAGGAGGCCGGCGGCGGAGAAGAAGTCGGCCGCGAAGTCCAAGTCGCAGGCGCAGCTCGTGAAGATGGACTTTCGAAACCCGATGTTCCGAGCTGCAAACGGCAACGCGGAGAAGGCGATCGCAAGGTGTTTATCTATCTATCTGTTCATTGTTTTTTTCTTAATATGACCCAACGAATCCATCTGTAAGAAAACGGTCTAAGATCCATAGGTTGGCTATGAATTCATGGCGTCAGGGAAAGCCACCTGTGTTTCCACGGTTTCCGAGCAGCATACTGTACAGTGATACACCCCTCCCTCCCTGTGGGTAGCAGGCTTAACAAGATAGTTTTGGTGCCCTTAGATGCGGGTACGATACAAGGGCTTTGGCCGGTATGTACCAAATCGGCCCGCAAACTTGTGTGAAGAACACAAGAAAGCTGTTCGATGCTGTCGAACAAGGTTCGTCGCCACCGCCCGTCGATGCGTACCATAATACAAGTGGACACGTAGGAGTTTGGTGTCAGCTCTGTTTAATCCTTTCTTCTTTGATGTGTAATTTTGGTCCAACTTGGAGCCTCGTATTGTGAGAATGAGCGGCCTCAGCAGCACCTACGCAGTGTTCACCTCATATGTAGACGTAAAATACAGCAGTTGTTGAAGCGCAGACGCAGTAGGTCCGGGAGGGTCAAACCCCCGACACAACTGTTGAATGCTCTCCCGCATCAGCATCGTTGGTCCTTGGTGCATGGCCCCTACGGGGGTTTGCACACCTCGGAAGGCTTTTGTGGTGGGGTCAACTGTGTTCCATGTAGGGTTCTTAGCTGGGCATGTGTTCTTGTGGTCAAGCTCTTGACTTGTTTTCGCTTTGAGTCTCATTTCTTCGGCTTGCAAGAGAGGTAGTTGCTGCGTAGTTCTTAAGGCGGTGGCGTGCACATGAGCCCAACGTCAACGCTGGGCCCTGTACTTGCGCATGGTTCGGTTGCACCCACATCAATCCGCGCTGAGCCTGCCCTGCCCTTATCTTCACCTGTATGCTACGTATGCCTGACTGAACGTTGTCACTGTACCCTTTTGGTGGTACGATTGTACTGCTGTACCCCTTCTGAACCTCTTTTTGGCTCTTTGGTGCCGACGGTTGGTGTCAGCCTGTATCCCGCGCAAGACTCCGAGGAGTCAACTCGGTCGGCAATGAACGGCAGCAATCCGATGTTCAAGCGAAGCGTGTCCGACGCGGGAAGACCCAGGTGATTTGATTCGATTTCGTGAGTCATGCATCCATACTAAAAACAGAAAAGAAACTCATCCGTGTGCTGCACCGCATCTCATCCCACCCCACGACCTCAGATGATTCATGCATCCTTGTGCGTTGCATCTCAACCACGTTTCCTTGAGGGGACGAGGGACTGAGTCGGCATGCCAGTTGTTATATGTATAATTGTCCCCACGGTACAAGTATGATACAAGTATCGATGTCGTCGGCGTACGGAGTATTATTATTCCGGTTTGCGAATACTCGCACACTTGTGGAGGTACAGGTAGCCGTGACCCTTGTAAAAAGGCTGCGTTTACTAAGGTCAGTCGCCCAAAAAGGTACTTGGATTTTGTCTGGTACATAGTCTGAATAGTGCCGGTGCTCGGTATATGGCCGGCCAAATCTCTTGGCACTACAATGCAGCCTTAGCGTTAGCCTTATGTTGTGCAGGGCCCACTTACGTGGACGTTAAGTTAAGGATGTAACCGACAACTTCTTGGTCTATAGTAGTGTTTGGGTGACACAAGCCCTTGTGTTCCGGTACACAAACCAAGTAAAGGTGGAGCCTGTTCAGTGTTGAGCGCCTTCAATTCCGACAAGCTTGGTAACGTCTTACATGTGCAACGACTTTGTTACAATCGTCGGGCTCGTCCATCTGGTTTCGACTATCGCACCAACTCCATGTTCACAGCAGTCATTGCATTGCCTACCCCCAACCGTGACTCCTTGCTCGTCCTGTTCTGCTTCACGAAAACACAAGACCAAGGGAGAATCCAGAATTGAGCAGGGGAGGGGGTGGCAGCGACTTGGGGAAGAGCGTGGCGGCTGACTCGAAGGGCAAGGGGGGGGAAGACAATGGCAGCAGGGACGAAAAGCAGCAGCCAAGGAAGGAGAAAGGAAAGTCCAAGGACAAGACCAAGAAGCCGTTGTACGAGCACGTCGGCCGGATGAACGTGCGGCCCTTCCTCAGCGACCCCAGCGACGCGAACGACTACGTATCCGGACATGTGAGCGCGTTGTGAACGATATTGGGAAGGGCCTGTTTTGGCATTAATTGGTGTGTTGTTAAGGTGTCCACCTACATCCGTGCTGGGCGTTGGCTGTAGGCGTGGTAGAGCCGTAGATTGTATCGTGTTCGTAGCATGTGATGCCATTTTCCGACTTACTTGCATGCTACGGAGCTTTGCTGCTTGGTTTGACGACACGATGAAAGCTAACCCTGGCGTTCGTGACCTATAAGTTTGCAGGTGTCAGTGCCAAATGACGTTGATTTTCCCTTTCATGGTGATATGTAGTCGTTGTCGTCATAACTGCTTTGTGGTGATCGCAGTTGACACACCTGCTGTGCAATAGTAGCCGTTGGGAAGTCGCGGCTTTGTCTTAGTAGCCAATGTGGAAAATCGTGGCCAGTGGCGATATAGCCGTTGGCGCGGCCGCTGCTTCGTGATGGCGTAACCGCTGTTGAAAGTCCTGCTTTGTGACGATGTAGCCGTTGACACCGCTTCTGTTTTTTCGACCCGACGGTACACTCCCTTCCATCCATCCCCTGGCGGCATGAATGACAAACAGCGTGGGTTCCGCTTGGACACTTTCGCTCGCAATGAGGGGGAGACGGGAGGCACGGCCCACTTCAAGTTCGTGTTCACCCTCGATGGAGGTAAGCGACCTCATCACCACTTCCCAAAGTACCCGTCAGCAGCGAGCCTCCCTTTGGGACAAGCTTTTGGAGCGCTTGCAGTTCTGGTTCATACTTATGGCCTGTTTGAACGTTTATTTTTTTCACCTAAATTGAATACCTAAATTGGATGAACAAATCTGGGTTCTTGGCCACAAAGGACTTGCGTCGTTTTAACGCATTTTTGCAACACCGAGTTCAGCAACACCCAAATGCGGCGGAATCGCTGCCGCGAGGTGACGTGGTGACCCAACCAGGTAGAGCGATAGACCATGTGCACCACACGGGAGCTGTAAAAATGTACCAGCACGCACACGAAGCTAAGCATCAGCAGGTGGTGCCAGCGGTCCAAGCCTCGTCCCCAGGCTTGCTCTAAACGACTGTTGTTTGGACTGTCTCGCTGGACACAATCGGCCGTTGACTGTTGACATCGCACATGTTGGAAGCATTTTCCCCAGCAACTCAACCAGCGCGAAAAGTTGGCACGCTCACAGATTCATTGCAATACAGCTATCTCCCAGCAGCGGGCAGTGGGCGATGCGTGTGGGTGCCGCACGGCCAGTGTGCCACATGCAGTCCCATCAGGGGTAACAACGCCAGCACGAGTTCAGCGCATCACGGGGGGTGCAAAGGGGCGCAGTGCAACCCGGGTACTTCAATTCAGCAAAAAAAAAATCAATTTGCAGTTGTTTTTTGCTGCACCCAATATCTAAGTCCCGCTTCTGCGGGCAGAGAAAGCCTCGCCGTGTTTTTTCCTGTTGACCAATTAGCGTCTTGGACCCGCGGCACCCCCCGGAAACTTATATTCGGCAGGGCCTGAATTTAGGTGCAAATTTTTAACGTTGAACCAGGCCCTCATCGATGTCAAACGTAGCCTAGGCCGGCGAGTACCAGGCTTTCCGCTCCGACCCCGGCATTGTACTGTAGGGATGTGGGGTGTGGGGTGTGACGTCAATGGCAAAACGACTACGGCATGCATTTACATGAGCACCTCCCCCCCTCCCTCAGTTCCTTGAGACAGCACGGTGATGATTGGACGTTTTGATGAACTGGCGAGAGCCGGACTGCACGACTGCACCACATCTCGTCTTGATTACTGCGCAAACGTTATCTATGCATACCCGTACGAATATGTTTTTTTTATTCAATTCCGCTCCCCCCATACCGCGTGATGGCATTTCGTCATGGTGCTATTCGACCCGGTCCTGCGTGGGATGTGTTTGGTTCATCAGCAGCTGTGCCGGACGAAGGGGAGGACGCGAAGAAGGCTCGGCCGATGCTTGACGCGATACACGAGCGGGCGACGGGGAAGCTGAGGGTTAGGGTCAACGACGGACGAGAGATTAGCACCACGGAGAGCGCCGCCGTAGACATCGCCATCACCAATATCGGAGTGGTGTTCTTCAACCCAAGGACCATGGTAAGACGAGAAGAGCAAGAAGAGCCAGCCATTTTTTTTTTTTTTGCGACAAGTTCGCGTTTTCCCTGCGTCTCGCCGCACACCTCCTAAAAACTGTTGCCGTTTTTTGTAACGTCGCCACCTAGTTGCTGGCTGCTGCGTACCTCATCCGCGCCCCCCCTTCCTGGCCCTGCTAATCGCACCGCACTGCTGCTGTGTTGTCTATCGGTTTCCGCTCGCAGAGTAAAGGGCATCACTTGTATACGCTCAGCCTGACAGGTAGGACTCTTTTCAGCGTGCTGGCATGATACCAAGGGAAGCCAGCGACCTAGGTCTGTGTCTTGCTGTTGAAGTTGAAGACATGCCGTGGGCATGAAGCGGCGTTTTCGAATGGGCGAGCGGTTGGGTCGGGAAGGTGCACCGCAATTCGATTCGTCGTGCGAAAACCGCTTCGCTGGTGTTGTTGCCGAGGGAGGGGAGCACGTCGTTTGTCAGTGTGGCGCTGCGATCGCCGTTTAGAGCTTAGGAGTGTACTGGGGTTTATGGAACTACGCCAACCGGCCTCTGCTCCAAGTTGACCCCGCAGTCACCAAGCGACAACAGCAGTTGACTACGCCATTCGGTGATTGGACGGACGACGATGCTGAGCGTGGTTCAACACTCGGAGTTCAGTATCAGGGGGAAGGACGGCGTTGTTCCAAGAGGATGGTGCTGACGAAGCTGGTTTCTTGGCGTGTTGCGGACCGGTACACGGGACGGGTTGTCGTTCCGAAGTTGCAAAGCCGGTTCGTTCCAAGAAATAATGTGTTCAAAAAGACGGGGTTGGTGGTCGTTGTTTGCGTTTTGTTCTTTTGAGGGCGTCGGCTTTGGAACAGGAGGAAACAAGAAAACAAACATTTGATGTCGTCGCTGTTGTAGACATCGCTGAGGGGCTCGCTCTCACATCCTCCGCTGTTTGGAAAAAAAAAAAGGTTTTGTTTAGCCTGCGGTATTTTGGGGGAGAGGCGTCGTCCTCGTGTATGACTGACTGCGCCACACACCTTCAATGTCCCGAAGCCAAGCTAGGTTTGGCCAAGTTGCCTGTCGTTTCACTCTTCGATGGTTGCATCCCTCCCGTTACCACGGTACAGTAAGCCAAGATCCATCAGGACTTGCGCGTGTCTTGTGTGTGGGTAGGCACACGTCTCTTGACCTTCTCGGCTCACAGAAGCTGGAACGCCGTGCCTGCTGTTGCATTGCAATAGTGTGTGCCCTCGGTCGCTCCTAACCCTAACCCAACGATCGGCGTTGAAGCTATGTTGATGGCGTCGGGTGGCATAAGGTCTCTCGGGTGGTGGCCATATCGCGTACCAGTATGAGTTGCCTCGTAGTAGAGTTATCATCCAGGTTGTGGTGTGGTCTCTTCTAGCCGCCGCCGCCGCCGCCGCCGCCGCCGCCGCCCCGTGGTGACTGGCGATGACTGTTGTGTGTGCGGTAAGGCAGTGTCGCTAGTTTTGTGTCTCGACGAAGCCGGTTCTTTGTTGTGGTTAATCTGGTCTAGACTAACTGTAAGGTTTGGGGCCTTTGCGACAACAACCGCTGCGATTTTGTTCATCCGTTAAACTCGGAGCAAGGACAAACGTTTGTTTTGGAAGCGTCGCGGGGTGTTGGTGGCCCGTTCGGTTTCTTGATGTCCCACTCGCCGGTGGCGGCCGGTTGTCGAAGAAAGCAAAGGAATAGGAAGAAATGCTTGTGCTGTGCTGCTGTTCAGAAAAGCTTTTGGTACGGAATGTCAGGAGATGATTGGAGTTCCTTGTGGGTGCTACGGAGCAGAAGAGGTATTTTGACTTAGGTATTGTACCCCCATCAGCAGTGTGCCGCTTCAAACCTACCATGGTAGTGTTACAGTGGCGAGTGAGGATTCGTTCTATTTAGGTCAACCGAAGTTGGTGTAGTCGCTACGGGTGCGTAGCACTCGGTGGCCGGGCGGCTGGCCAATGGACCGAAGGGTGAATGATGGTAGCACGCAAGAAGTCTGTCCCAACTTGCGTCAGGTTGTGGAGATGGTTATTTCCCCTTTTATGACGGATATAGTCTTGAAATCGTCGTCCGTTGAGGATGATTGGCTCGGGGCGAGTGTTTTTTGCGGAGGGAGGTGGTTCTGGTTGATCTGATTAACTGGTCCTCGCTTCCATGTTCCCCTGGTAGGAGATGGAGCTGGTGCACCTTTGGTGTGTGTTCATGTGTGTGTTATGAATGAGTATTGCTGTAAATGTTCGCTTGCCTCCGTAATACTTGGTAGTATACTAGTTGCGAGTCGACTTGATACTTGGTAGTATACTAGTTGTGAGTCGATCGATCAGTCTGAGGGTGTTGATAAATGTGTCTTGTCTGTCTTCTCAGCTTCTTGAGAATTTATCTTCATTTTGTCTCATTTCTCATTTGCAGGAAAAGTTTGCTTTGTTTTTGTTGTTTTCGATTCGATGCCGTCATTGCGCACGGCTCCAAATATTCCATCACTTGTTTTTGGTCTACGTGTACACAAGAGGCTTTGTTGGGTAGGAGAGGGCGTGTTCGTGTTGTGCCGCTGCTGCTAGTCTAGTCTAGTCTATTTGGGCGAGGGGAGGGGGGGGGTACGTTGGCCGTTGTGGGTGCCGTTGTTCCTTCTTGGTCTGGACAATTGCAGACGGTCGCCCTTGTTAAATTGATAGGCATGCATTTTCGTTGATGTGCCTTGCGCTCTCGCGACGGTTTGGTTGGGATTTGTTTAGTTAGAAGATGGCAGGCGGAGAGAGATCAGATTTATTTTGTAGCCATCGATGTCGGAAGAACTGCCAATCCCCGTCGAGGGCGGTGTCCAACCACCCGCAGCTTGGTTCGACCACTGTAGAGTGACACGATGGGATGACAAGATTTGCCAAGATTGGTGTAAGTCTAGCTAGACGTTTACCTTTTATTCCGTTGGTTAGTGATGGAATTGTTTTGTTTTTTTATCGAGAGCCGTGTATTTTTATATTTTCTGATACATACGCTGGATGGAAGCACGAGCTGAAAATATTTCTCATTTGTGGCCCCGTTCTCTCACTGTCTCACTCACTTTTGTGGAAGGGATGATGTCCGCCTCAACTCTTGTTGTGGCGCCCACCCCCGATACACGCTATCCTTTTTTTCCCATGACGACAGCCGTCCCGACGCTCATTAGGTTGTTTTCCTGTAGTTTCCATGAAACGGGGTGGAAACGCCGGGGTTTGCACCCGGAATGTCCCCGGTCTTTCAAGATTCGAAGCCAACACTTGCAAGCCCCAAGGAAGCACTGTTCCGCAGGAAGCACTGTTCAGCACGCACCGCAGGAGGAAGGTGGGGCATGAAAAGAAATAAAAGAGAAGAAAAAAGCCCTGGCGTTTATCCCCTCCTGTGTGACCCTGGATAGTTGTAGTTGTACGAAAAAATGCACTGAAAAGTGTACAGTGTGGGTATTAAGGACCACCCCCCTATTAGGGACCACTTCTTAAAAAAAAAACATGTCTTGCCGATACCATCGCGGAAAGCCTTTCTTTTTTTTTCTTCGTGTTGTTATGGACCTCACCTTTCATTTAAGCCTAAGTTTACTCAATTTGGGACTTCGTTCTAAACAGCATTCTGTGCCAGCCAGGTCATGTGTGCTTTTTTTTTTTGGTGCTGTGTGGTGGCTCCGGCTAAGCCAGGTCATAATATTGACCTATATAATGGCAGTTTTCCATGACTGCGTGGGCCATTATGTGGTCTAGTGTTTAATTGCTCTGCATGGACCCAGTACTAAACAGGTTCGTACCTTGGGTCGTGCATTTTGTCTTTTCATGCGCTTTCTTTTCCTTTTTTTTCTGTTTTGCCCCCTCGATTTTCGTTCAAATGGGGGCAAAAATCGCGTCTGTATGTCAGATAGAGACTAAATCAACCCGGATGACAACAAAAGTTTGCATGGTGTCTATCTAGGGGTGCTTGCTACGATGCCGAAGAATAAACGGGCAAAAAAAAAACACTTGATATCTCTTTGCGTGGCGCCCAAAGTAGGCCATTTTTGGCCCAAAAACAGGCAAAAAAACACGGGGATTTCTTGTTTTTGTCCCCGGGCATGCATGTTTTTTTAAGTATTTTTTTCGGAAATGCTTTGTATTGCTACCGTAACGATACTTGCCAAAGGAAAAGTTCTGGAAATCATTCGAACGTGCGCAATAACCACGAATTCGAAGTGGTACTTGATCGGGGCATTTATTTGTGTTTTACCGGTATTTTCCCCTAACAAATGAAGAATACTACGCTGGCACCATGTCATCACCACATGCATTTTTTTTCTTTTTTGTTGTTTCATCGTTTAGGTCGTGTTATAAGCTAACGTTCGATATCACTCTGTCGCCACAAATCGTCAAGATACCCGAGAACGATCTCTCAGAGCGGGGGCTCCGTGAAGTGGTCCTTAATCGGCACATTTACTCTAGTACTCTACATAAACTGAAAAGTGTAGTACACGTCTCACCACGAATAATGGGGGGACTGTCGCCATACTAGGAGAAACAAATATACACACAGAAAGACTACCCGTTCGAGGTATAACTACACTCGAAGGGGATGTGTTGAAGTCTTTACAGTGAGTAGAGGAAAACCAGCTGGGTACTTGACTTATTTCGAGTTTGTTTAAGCCTATACACTGATGATTTATATCAGTGATACCAGTTGGTGCTTAGCACAAAAACATCTGCGTAGGTACATTTACATGTGGCCTGCACAGGGAACACGGCGCAATATGTCATGTTGACAGTAGTTGCTGGTTAAATTTTAGAAAAATACATATGTTAGGAAAAACAAATATGCACACAGAAAGACTACCCGTTAAACACATAAAAGCTCCCTGTTCGAGCGAAAAACAACACTCATAAAGGCTACTGCTGTACATATTCGGAATCACAAATATAGACTACACACAAAAAGACTACCCGTTCGATGTTGTATGTATATTTTTTGAATTTCTGAACAGGTCAGTCAGGTGGTTGTTGATTTCCCGCTCAATTTGCATATATACGACGAAAACACACAACACTGTTCCGCAGGAAGCGACCAGCAACAGCGCATGGTGGACAGACACCACCCCAACCAAGCCCACCGTGCACGCTTGGGCTTGTGGCGGGGGGGGGGGGGGGGGGG